CCTCCTTGGGTTTCCGAGGCAGTATCACTACGGAAGTAGGATTGCCCAACCTTCCTTCCGAGGAGTGGCTGGTGGGTTTGAACCGCCAGCCTTCTGGTAAACAGTCAAGTGCCTTAGGCACTATGCTACCAGAGCTCCTAGACGTCACCTAACCACCACTGCTCAGCCCCTGCATAAAGATTCTCTGTCAGTGGCACCTTTTCCCAGGACTCCCAAGCCTTCAGAAGTCATGTATAAACCCTTCAAACCACGGTCTAAACAGACCTGAGCCTGTTCCTCAGAGGCATCCATTCTCGCTCTGTCCTGTAGTTCTAGAATTTGTGGAATTGTTGAACCAAACTAAAGGAAAAAACACCGTCAGCTCTCAATTAGCTGCACCACTGGAGAGGAACAGTAACGGGGTGGATTAAAAAAATTTGGTTCTGTTTGGCTTTGGAACGTGTGCTTTTTTTTTTTTTTTCAGTAGATTAACTTTCTAATTATATTTTGCACAGCCTAATACTAGCAGGCATTTGCACTCCCTGAGCACATGCCATCCAACACTGGGGGTTGCAGCAGACAGTCCAAAAATGTGCTGCTCTCAGAGAACGGCAATGTTACGGAAAATCCACACATGGAGAACGGAGAGTAATTATAAAGTGCTCAGCGAATATTAAATCCTGAGCAGAGAAGGCAAAACAGGCCATGTGGGCAGAATGAAAAAGCTCATCAACATTCTAAAAGGGGCCAAAACTTACAAGAGTCAGCTTCAGTGTTAATGGCGTTTGATGAAAAAATAAGGATACAACTTACTGGGTGGTCAGTCAAGTAAGAAAACCTCAAGCAAAACCAAAGCGTTTTAAAAGAGTGTTTAAAATGACTTTTATTGTTGGAATTTTACAAGTAGTCTTTAGAGGCTTCAAACAAGAACTCTGTTGCAAAACTCTAATAAATAGCTTGCCCCAAGTCCCAAACAAAACAAAATGTAAAACAAAATAAAAACAGAACTCAGAAGGATAAGCAAGACTTCAGAATGCTTGGATGTTAGCAGTTATTTCTCATTTACAAAGAGAAATCAGGCAGCGTACAATCTCCTTCATACAAGTCAGAGAGAGAGACAGAGATGATGGGAATTCTTACGGAGCACTCTGAAATCTTCCTATTTCCATGACAGAAATGTCATCAGGAAAAAAAAAAAAAAATCCATGGACAAAATTACAGTCACAAATGAAACCTTACAGAGCATAAAAATCTGGTAGTGGGGTGGGGAGGAGCAGAGGAAAATGCATCTTGTTCCTTTCAGTGATGGAGAGAAGAATGAGGTTATTCCAGGAAGAATACTGGCGCAGATATGCTAGTTTGGGGACAATTATGAAGGCAAGGATCGAGGCCACCAAGGGCTCTCCTCAGGCCAATCAAGACTGGTAGGCCCAGTCTCTGTGTGCTGCTGGGTGAGGGCCTTGGACCAGTGCCCTGAGGTCCAAAGAGGCTTGCATCACTAGACAGGAAATAGGGCAACAACTTCTGCAGCAGACCGTGTGAGGGCCCCCGAAGGATGCAGGAAATGGCTTACATTTCAACTGGGGCCACACCCCGATTATCACAGGCATTGCTCCGAAAAAGCAAACATTAAAACTCACAGTTGACCATTCATTCTTAGCTTTTCCCAGTTACATATACTGGCAAAGTATTGCTTTGGAAAGGATTTATTAACTTATTCATATGTAATCATTTTGAGCAATCTTATGTCATTTCCATCAGCTTAAAAATTACATTTTTATCTTTAAAATCTCATACTATACTTCTCACCAAAATGCATACAATAGGGATAATAAGAAATACACATAATAAGGTTGTAATTTGGAGGAATTCTGAAACCAATTTATGTTTGGAGCCAGGCAGCTGTAGAGATGCTGATCCCAATTCAGTGGGGCTCACTGAAACCAGGCAAAACAAACAAACAAAGCATTAAGTCTGAGGAGCGCACCTGGGACCCTCTCCCTGAGGAAAAGGTGGCAGGAAGTGACCTCACAATGAGGGATATGGAAAGGGACCTCTGGCACTGTCTCTACCCCTCTCTGGGTTACTGCCTTGCTATTGTTAAATAACCCTGTCCTGCTGATCTCTGGAAGATAGGTACTGACAGCATGAACTCATGCACAAGTCACTCAAGAGAGGTGGGCATTTCCTAAAAGGCCCTCCCTCCCAGGCATTGTAAGAAAGAAGGTAAGGAAAATAACCCTCCCTGCTCCCCAAATAAACAATTAGAAAAACCCCAAAAACCTTCCTTTTCCTAGGAACAATGACGTCTGTCAAGGTAACAAGGGAAAGCTTGAGTTACCTGAAGTAAGAAAAAGCTGATGGAAATAGAGGCAGATGTGCCAGGGGGGACCCTGGGCCTAGATCCAACTTCTTTTTAAATACATAACAGATAAAGATATTGTGCAAAAAAATAAAGACATTCACATTTTAGCAGTTAAACTTTTATTTCACTTTTTTAAAATTTTTATTTACGTTTTTGTTTTTCTTTTCTACAAAAGGCAGATAATGATTGTTGATCTGCAATTGTTGTGTTGTGCACTCCCCGCCAGGGGGGCAAACTAGGAAGCTGGGGGAGTTGCTCTGAGAACGCTTTCCACGGCCTGAGCAAGGGGCTTCCAAGTCTTGGCTCGAGAGTGCTCCTCGTGGTCCCCCTTCTCCTTCCCACCGCAGCCTGCCCTAGCTCATGTCTATGGTATTGAAGACCCACTCAGTGAACTTCTTCAGCTTGTCAGAGGCATTCTGGGACTCCTCCTGCAGCCTCAGGTTGTCCTCACGCAGGTGCTGAACTTCAGCCTGAAGGTGGGCTTTGTCTTCTTTTTCCTGGGAGGTAGAGCAAAGTATATAAAGAACTCAGAGTGGTGGCCAGTGCCGATTACCCAATAAGCAAGATAAGCACAGGTTTAATCTGTTCACCACAGATTAGTACGTAAACACAAGTAAGCCTGTGCTTACCTTTCTTATTGGGTAACTCACTCCTGGGTCAACTGCTGCAAACAGCTATGGACCCATGTTGACCCTTGGCCCATCTCCAGGCTTCTTTCTACTGAACTCCTGCATACATGGCCTGGTACTGGCTGTTAAATTACTCTAAAGCTAAGAAACAGGGCTTCACTGTAGGTTTGTCTTGGAATGTAAATACATAAATGTATATTTTAACATTTTTGTTGATAAAGGCTGTCTTAAATTTTAGACTAATGTTTTAGTGGCTGCTGTCCTAGTATAATGAAAGCCACCTAACAAACAAAACATTTGATTTACTAGGTGCAAAAGCCCGAGTAACAATGATGCGTGGGCCTGAGCTACTGGCATGTTATACAAGGGGCAGGAGGGCCGGGAGAGGGCTCGAGGGGGCTGGCCGAGATCCAGAGGCTTTCACAAAAAAGGGAACAATTTTCTTGTACGTGTGACAATGAAAGCCTTCTTGCACTACTTGTGTTAGTGGCAACTGTGCTCCAAGCTGCCCCTAAACGTTATGTGTGTAAGAATTTCGATAGAGGGAAAAACACCCCATCTTTCTCCATTGCCACTACTTAACAAAGGCTCACACAGTTCAAGGGCAGTTTCCACAGTCTGGGCAATTTGTTTTGGGAATAAGCGTTTACCTTCTTCAAATCTTCCCGAAGCATCTTCAGCATGCCTTCCAGTTGGTCCACTTTAGAAGCCAGAGTAGGAGAGGAATCTTTACTGCTGGGAACAAGAAATAAGAGACCATGTTGGCAGGGGCCTCCATGGCTGGTTTTGTTGTTTCTTAATCTGAGGAGGCTATGCTTATTTTCAATGTCAAATTACTCAGTATGGTGACTCAATGTGAATTTTCACTTTCAAAAAGAGAACGGTAATCTTAACAAAAGGGAATACAAACTTGAACTCCAGCCAATCAATAGCTTCCTTTGTTAAAGATGCTGTGTCTTCAAGACAAAAGAACAAAGGACAGTAAGTGAAATGGTCCCTTTAGCAGGACAAGTGGTCCTTCTGGGCAGACATGACTGTCAAACAATGAAATGATTCCTCAGGGATCTCTCATAGTGAGCTTTAAAAGAAGAGAGCCAGGCCTCCGTGTGTGTGGAGCTGGGGGGAGGGTGGTGATGCAGGACTTGCCTTGGGGATGCAGGAATAAGGGAGGTCTCTGGTTCCCAAAATACTGTCAGTGGCCACTTGTTCAGTTGCAGCTAAGTTATGATGCCCACGTCTTAAAACCTAGTTTAAATATCTTAAAATATATTTTTTAAAAAATAAGACTACATGTTTTAAAAGGAGCTCTGGTTGTGTAGTGCCTAAGGCACTTGACTGCTAACTAGAAAGCTGGCGGTTCAAACCCACCAGCCACTCCTTGGAAGGAAGGTTAGGCAATCTACTTCCGTAGTGATACTGCCTTGGAAACCCAAGGATGGGTCGCTATGAGTCGGGTCTGACTCGATGGCACATAACAACAACAACAACACAGTTCAAAAGCCTGTCAGCCCAAGTTCAATGTCTTAAACTTGTATTAATAGCAAGATACACACACACACA